TAGATCTTCCACCAATCCTGATGCCACACTTCTCCTCATAGAGCCCAGCCTCTCGGATAATCTGTTCTGCATACAGGTTGAAAAGGCATGGAGACAGGACACATCTCTGGCGTGGTATTTACTATAAAACACATTGTTTAACCTTTGGTGCGTCTGCCCCTTACAGCAGGGGTTTCTTGATGGTCCCACAATGGTTGTCTCTGAAACTCCAGCATTCAGCCCAGGGATGTGTACACTACAACTGCTTATGGTTTGCGGATGAGTGATTGAAGGACAGAGAAATCTTCCTGCAGCATTCTTAGCTCATAGAAGGGGAAGCCTGGCTAGAGTAGCTCCCATTTCAGCATGTGCAAAGTGGCCACACAGAGAGGAATGAGAATACAAAACAAAAGCCTTCAACCTGAGAGGCACTGAAGGATAAAGACACCAGGGAGGGGGGAATTGAAGGTGGGGAAGGGAAGTGCCAAGAACATACAGAAGGATGGGTGCATCTCTGAGGCAAAGGCACACTGCCTTCCTGTTAATTCTGAAGCATGACTCTTGCTTGATGAATAAAACCTACCCTTTATCTGAAATGCAGCCACTGCAGTTCCATTCTTAGACCCGTGGGTAGCACAATACGCTTTGTAGACCAAATACAGAGGATATGGGTATTAGTCAAGCAGGAAATATTGCCCCAGACTCTCTTTTAGAAAAAAAAAATAGAATCTAGCTATATCCAATGCCAGAAAATCCCATTACATGTCACCCACATGGAATCCTAAAGGGGGTCTTGGTGGTTATAGCTTTGGGGTGGAATTCCTCTGAGGGAAATGTGGACATGGTCCACCTCTACGGGGCGCTCCACTCCTCAGGGACGATGGATCCCTGGGTGGAGGTCCAAAGGCAAGGAATTCAACAAGGACTCATTACAAACCCCAGACAGGCAGAAGAGAAACAATGCCAGAGCATCTTAGGAGATGGGGGACATGTCTCGCCTATGAATAATTAATTCTGAGAGTCATACGGATGTAGAGAACGCTCGTCTGACAAAGCCTAGGTTTGATGTTTTGTGTTTTGCTAATTAAATGTCATCTCTGTTGAACATGAATTTACACACACACACACACACACACACACACACACACACACATCCCCCAATAAAGTAGGTACAGATTGTGCTAAAGCATCTCATTTTTAACCTCTTGGTAAGAGATGCACAGACACTGTTCAAGTATTTTTCAAACACAAGAGAAAAGAGAATCATGCATCTTGGTCTTACCCTGAGGTAGTTGAGGGTGAAGTTCGTCAGCCCCATCCTGGTGATGTTTTTGGACAGTTGATCCAAGACCTGAGGATCTTGCGCCTAAAGGAAAAAAAAAAATCCAAAAACCTTGCAAGCTGGTACTAAGAAAATCTTAGAATGTTTAAGGCTGCTAAGAAAGGTTATCACGCTGGTTGTTCACCAAGGAAAGGCTGTCAGGGACACTTGCATCTAACACTTGAGGTTGTGGTTGTTATGTGCAATTGAGTCACCTGGAACTCATATAACTGAGTAAGGTCCAGTGTTAAGTAAACGTCGGAACAGACACAGATGTCGTCTCAAACCTTGGGGGAGGCGGTTATGGATTCGCTTCTTCTAGACAGGTTCTGGGACTGTAACGTAAGAGTCATTAACTTGGGCCAAGAGCAACTCACTGGAGGAGGCAGGACCATGCTTTAGGGTTGGCTCTGAGTTCCTATTGTGAGTGTGTTGTTTATTTCCTTACTTATTTTTAAGTATGTGTGAGATGAAGTTACATCTTCTTTGCCTTCAAAGAGCACCTTGGCTGCACTTGTTCTGAGACATTTGTTCTTTTGGTTGTTCTTGTTGTTGTTATGTGCCATTGAGTCACTTGCATCTCATAGTGACAACTACATACAACAGCCCTAAAACCTGCTCTATCCTGTGCCAAACTTCTTGTCTCTGACACACCTACTCCCATTACTTCAGGCACTGAGTCAATTCATCTCATTGAGGGTCTTCCTCTCCTGCGTTGTTCCTCCACCCTCCCAAGCATGATGTCCCTCTCCAAAGACTGCTCCCTCCTTTAACATGTCCAAAGTATGTCAGAAGACTCCTCAGAATCCTTGCATCCAAGGAGTAGCCCGGTTTTGCCTTCTCTAGGGTGAACCAGTTTGTTCTCCTAGCAGTTTATCATATATTCAATACTCTTCTCCAGCTCCACAGCTCAAAGGCATCAATTTTCCTTCTATCATCCCTAGTCATTGTCCAGCTTTCTGGTACATAGGAAGTAATTTCAAAGACCATGGCCTGAATCAGGCACACCTTCATCTCTAGGCTGACATTTTTGCTCCTTAGTACTTTGGAGACGTCTCTGACAGCAGACTTTTCCAATGCAATTAGTCTTTTCATTTCCTGGCTGCTGGTACCAAGAGTATTTTTTGTGGTATATTTGCTAACTCATTGCCAACATCACAATTCAATGGCATTGATCTCCTTTCATTTTCCAACTTTCAGTTGCAAGCAAAGCAGTTGAAAATACCATGCATGGATGAGGTTCACCTTAGTCTTTAAAACTGACATCCTTGCTGATAAAAACTTTAAATCTGACAGCAGATTTTCCCAAGGCAAGAGGTCTTTTGATTTCTTTCTTTTTTTTCTGTCTTTTGATTTCTTAACTGATGTCCCCATTGATGTTACCTCTTCAATCTGTTGGCATAGTAGATTATGATTGTCCAATAAAAAACAGCCAGTTCTAGAACATCTCAATTAATTCAATATTGATATTTATTTCTATAAATTCAATATTGATATTTATGCATTTAATTTCATATTTGACAACTCAATTTTCTCAAATTCATAACTCGACATTCCAATTATTAGTGCATATTTGTAACTGTTTCTCTTCATTTTGACTCTTGCCACACCAGTAAATAAAGATCCTTCACTGGATGTACACTGTACTCCATCTGGGTCATGGGAGCAGACTCTACATGGAGGAGACAGCTCTTCTCCAGGAACATTTTAAGTTCGTTCCAACTTCTGGTTGCTGGTATGTGCGTGAGTAGATTATACGTCTCATAGCAATGCTACAGGAAACAGCTCTGAACCCTGTTCTATCCTGAGCCAATCTCACTGTTTCTGACATACTTAGCCTCATTATCCCAGTTACTTTGTCAGTCCTTCTGGGGTCTTCCACCCTTGCACTGTCCCCTCCACCCTTACAAGCACTATATTATTCTCCAAAGACTGGTCCTTCCTGGCTACATGCCAAAGTATTTGAAAAGGACTCTCAAAATCTTTGCCTCCAAGGAGAAGCTTAGTTTCACCCTCTCCAGGACAGACTTGTTAGTTCTCCTGGCTGTCAATGGTATGTTCAAAACTCCTCTGCAGCACCACAACCCAAAGGCATCAATTCTTCAGTCATCCTTGGTCACTGTCCAGCTCTCTGATGCATAGCAAGTAATTGCGAAGACCACGGTCTGGATCAGGTGCACCTTAGTCTCTAGACTGACCTCCTTGTTGTTCTGAATTCTGAAGAGTTTTCTGACAGCTGATTTTCCTAATGCAATTTGTCTGTTGATTATCTGACAGCTGGTGCCAAGAGTGTTGATTGTGGAGCCAATCAAGCTGAAATAATTAACAATAACAATCTCTTCTCCATCTATTATGATGATGCCAGTTGTCCCAGTTGTGAGACTCTTCATTTTCTTTATGTTGAGCTTCAAACTGTAGTCCTTGACCCTCTGAAACATAAAGAGCTCATTGTATGTCACTTTACCCAACAAGGTCCTTCTTTAATCCATAGACTTTTCAAAAGCCTGTTGTATCAGAAGTCATGGTCAGTCTGGCTTCCGGGCCTGGAAGCTCTGAAGCAGCCTGTCCACCATGGATCTGAAATCCCGGTGGCAGAGATGCCAGCATCCCAGACACATACAAGTCACCATAGGACACAGCTGTCAGAGGAGTGGTGTCCAGGGCACGAAGGCAAGGACACTAGCCTGCAGAGGCAGGGTGGAGGAGGTCGCGGGGGCCAGCTGGCTTTAGAGTGTGAACAAACTGGGTTACAATTCTGCTTTTTCAGCTTCTATGGGGGAAAAGTGCATTTTATTCAATCTCTCTGACACTCAGTTCCCCACCTCTAAAATAGAGATGATGATAACAAATCACATTTTAAGTTCTAGGGAGCTCTGGTGGCCTAATGTATAGGAAGTTACACTGTTAACCCCAAAGTTGTTGTTGTTGTTATGTGCCGTCGAGTCGCTTGTGACTCATAGCGACCCTATGTACAACAGCCCTAAACTCTGCTCTGTCCTGTGCCAATCGCACTGTCTCTGACACTCCCATCCC